CCCCAGTACCTACCTGTCCCTAAACCTAACCACCCCAGTACCTACCTGTCCCTAAACCTAACCACCCCAGTACCTACCTGTCCCTAAACCTAACCACCCCAGTACCTACCTGTCCCTAAACCTAACCTGAACTCAGTTCACACCTTGGTCCTAAACTGAAACCCTGACCCACCAATGGTATTGCCCCCAGTGGGGACTGGGCTTTTTTTTACCCCATAAGGAACAATGAGTCCTCACCAGGTTGTGTACCAGGAAAATGGTCAGAAATTGTCCCCACCATGTAGCAAAAATATGTACACAACACACCCCCCCCCCCCCCCCGTGGAGTGGAGGCCATCAGTGTAGCATTGTGTGAAGAATAATCACAGAAGCAGAGCAGGAAGTAGTAAGTTTAGCCTGCAGACAGGGACATTATAGGTGGGAAGCAAAACGTTTTTTTTTTTTTCTAAAAAAAAAAAAAGAAGAAGAAAATAAGTTCTGGTTGTGGTACTCTGCAGGGCAGCTTGGCTTCTCCTCCACGACCCCCTGCTTCACATCTCGTTAGTGTTGATACCACAGATTTTTGGAGTCTGGGAACAGGTGGCCTGGCTGGAGAGCAGCACGGACGAGTGCTTCGCAGCATCATGTCCAAAACACAAAAGTGTAGTCCTGCTCGCCAAGCATCATCTGCTGCCACCACCGTATTTCCTCTTGCTTTCCTTTTTGTTTGTGAGCGTGCCCAGAGAAGACAGGGGCACTGCTCCACCAACAGTTCTCACAGTTCACGTGAGACTCGTTAGGCTTCTCCGTCCTTCCAATCATCCAGGTGTGCAGCTCTCTCTGCGGCCTTGCGCGGCTCTGTTTTTGCGTGGTCCTCTTCTTCTTTCCCTCTCAATTCCAGAGTCGCTCACAGGGGTTTTATTTTCTACCGTTTTCCACTTGAAGTAGCCTCGGTTCATCATCACATCAACCATTCATCAGCGACTCTCAGAAACGCCTCTGTCCTCCACTTCTCTTCTCTTATTCATCTTCCTCTCCTTCCTCTCCCACCCGTTCGTCCTCGGCCTCCTTCCTCCTGTCAGCGCCGCTCTGCCGCTGGTGCAGTGTTGCCTTGCAGAGCTTGTAAATGCTAGAAATCAGATTTAGTTGTCTGACATACGGCAAAAAATAAATAAATAAATAAAGAGAGAGAGAAGGGGAGAGGTGTTTGCTAGTGTGACCGTCAGGAACCATTATTTCCACAAGCTTTCCGAGTCGCAGAGAATGCAGCGATGCAGGCTGTGTGGGTATTTTGTGTGCGTGTTTGTTCGGGCACTTCCTTTTGTTGTGCCCGGACTTTGTTTTGTTTGTTTGCTAATTGGTCCTCCCGAGGATCCGTTTGTATGCGTTGACAAGATGGATGACTGCGACTGAGCCGCTTGTACTCCGTAGGAGGAGGGAAAGCACTAAAAATAACATTATTCACTGGTTTTCTTCTACACAACAACATGGTTGGATTGTTTTGCAGACGACCTGCGGTTGCGTGCGAGATTACGTGAGCGTTTTTCATCGTGCCCTTTTTTTCTTTTTTTATTTCGACGTGATTTATTTATTTATTTTTTTGATTTCCCGTCTGATTTTGGTTTCTGTTTTTGCTGCAGCCGTTCTGCTCACCGACAGATTCAGCAAAGCCAAGTTGGCTCCAAATATAGTAGAAGTGGAACGGAAGTAAAACTGCCTCTACGGCAAATTCACGTTATTCTCCATTTCATTCTTTTGTTTGTTTGTTTGTTTTTGTTCTCCATGGAAATCAACATTGTCAGTAAATCAAATACAGGCTGAAATTGCTACAAGCACGTTGGTTATTGATTAGTTTAACTTTTAATCTTCACGCCTCTAAATTCAGTTGGATACATTTTCCTCTCTGAGCATGCAAAGGTATCTCTTTCAAAACGCTGGCAGCAGTTTATATTTAGCATCTTTACTCCCTCAAAATGAATTACTGACTCAGGCGGTTGTCCCTTAATTGATTATGTTTGATTATTCATCTTTGCTCTACAGCCCGTGACACCTACAGTTTAGGAAGTAATTACAGGTCGTGAATGAAAAGCAGCTATTTATTGTGAGGAAAGTGTTTGTGTTATCTGCTGCTTTCAGCTTAATGTGCTAGCCAGCCCTGGTCTGTGTCCCTCCCATTGAAAAATGATAAGCAGCATATATTTTTCTAATGAGAAGGTGTCCTTGGAGTGTAAATAGGGGGAATAAAGGATGTATATGCGCAGCGCTGAGGGGGAAGCTGGAATGGATTGGGGCCAAGCAGGAGAAAAGAGGAAGCAGTTGCTTCCTTTGTGCTAAATTTGGTCTGTCAGAAGATAGCTGATGTGGGAGAGCAATGCATTGTTTGGTCGATCCTTACAGGCTCGTCATGCACACATATTTGCATGCACACCTGCATGGGAGACAGACTGCAGAAGAGCAAAACAGATGAACTAGGAGAAACAGCTGCGCTGTGTTCCTGCGAGTCAAGTAGAAACCAATTCCCGTGTCACTAATTTGGGTGCGACTCTTTCCTGGCAGGGGTCGGCTGATTCGTATACCAGTAGACCGTCGGATTCAGACCTGTCAGCCGAGGAGGACCGCGAGGCGTATCGGCGCGAAGCCGAACGCCAAGCACAGCAGCAGCTCGACAGAGCTAAGGTATGCCACACAGGGATGTACACCACTTCATACGTTATATCTTTAAGTGTGATTTACGTCTTGTTTTACTGCCGTAGAGGCACTTTGATGCACACGGTTACTTAAAGCTTATAGTTTTTTTTACCTGGAAAGCTGAAAGTTCAGTCATTTAAACAGCCAAATAAGCTAAATGTGATGTGTGAACATCTGTTGTGTTGGATGATGATGATGATGTGTGTCTTTGTGGGGAGTGAGTACATGAAGGTTGTTTTGTGGAAATAAAATCTTAAACCAAACATCAAGAACAAAAAGGTTGATGGGGGCGAGGCAGGCAGCCAGCAGGACCAACAAGCCAAAGTCAGACCAGATCAAACACTAGTGCTGCACCTGATTATTTTAATAGATTAATCTGTTGATTATTTTATTGATTATTTGATTAGTCAATGATATTTATGTCTCAGTGTCCATTTATGCTTCCTGTTGGTGCACCTGTTCCAGCTCCAGTGCACGTCTCACCTGCTCACACCTGTGAAAGTCACCCTGTTATCCAGTCTTTCTACCTTAACATATAGCAAATTAAAATAATGGCCCATAAAACATAAGCTTAATAGCTTAGTCATATGTTTTTCTAACATTAATACACACGCTAAACTGCAGGTAGTCTTTTAAACAAACAGGCTAATGTACAAATAACTTTAAATAGCAGCCTCTCCTCCAGCATGAGAGGCTGTTAACCTGCTCTGCTGCAAGTCCAAAATAAACTAAAGAATATCTTGGGTTACACTGACATCAGGTGCATAAAAGTAAAAGATAATCCATCCCGTTTGGCAGTCCAAAAGTTCAAGTAGAACTTTAACAAACATAAAAAATAAAAATGGTAGAAGTCAAGACAGGATGGATTTTTACTATAATTCAGTGGTTTAATATGATGGCACGTAACACTTTAGCTAATGTTAGCATTACTGATAGCGCCACTTCCAAGAAACACTGTTTTCTGGTAGATAAACTAAGAAAACTTATAGACAGTTAGCTACAGCACAGTCACTGAAAATAAGATCTATGAGGCATCAACTTGACAAACAGGCTAACTGTCTGAAACTCACCCATCTGCAGTGAACATGAGCACAGCTCCAGTGTGTTAGTGCTTCAGGTGATCATGTTTTCACTGCTGCTGTGCTGCCGCGGAATGACCGAGTCTGCATTTTACTTTCTTTGGTTGATTATCGGTAAAATGTAGCCAACTTTTGAAAGTTTATGTCTTGTATTTTTAGCCTTTTTGACGTGACCGTCTTTCTGTTCTGCCATCATTGGCTGTGTCCAAATTCAGGGGCTGGGTCCTTTGAAGGACCCGGCCTTTCAGGTGTAGGTGGGCTGGGTCCTTGGTCGACCGTGAAGACCCAAAAAAAGTGGCTGTGAATTTGGATGGTCTAGTGCAGAGAATTGGGCCGTGAGCGCCACCTTGAGGGCCTCAAAAGAACAACAGTTTTTAACTTTGGGCCGCAGAGGGCCGTGGGACCGCATTGATTTTGAATAAGGTGCAATACACTTTCTCACCACTAGTAGCGGTAGTGCGCCACTCAGATGTTTAACAACTTTTTTAATATGTAGAAGAAGAACCTTAGAAACCTGCTGAAATTGGAAACTTATTTTAAATGAAAAGTAGAAGGCAAAAATGAAGGCAACCCATCAAAAAAGGCCAAAGTTTATCGCTAATATGAAGTGCAGCCTCTGGTTCTACCATGCGATACTTTAAAACATTATCAAATACAGTTGCAGATATAGCTATATTTTAATTTGCACTTTTTCAAATTAATTTTTGTAGTTTATTTTTAAACATTCTGAATGTATTTTAAAGACATTTTAAACTTGTCAAAAAGCTGTTGTTACTGTTATTGTTTGTCACTAATATGAAGAGCAGCTTCTGGTTGCAAAAATTTAAAAAGGCTCTATTTTCATTTGTACTTTATCAAATTTATTTTACAGGTTTTTTTATTTGAAACATTTACTTTAAACATTTTTAATTTATTTATGCCCACAATTTTATTTATTGAATTGTCTATTTTTGTTATTGTTTATGTTAAAAAAAAATATATATATATATTGTGCTGATAAGCCTGAGTGGTCTGTTGACTGACCTTTGTATTTGTTAAAATAATTGTTATGGGCAGGTTACAATATAAAAATGTTTGTCATAATCATGTCTTGCGTTTATTTGACAGGAGTTTTACTTTTAAAATGTAAATGTATTTAATTTAGTTACAATGTAAATACAATAAAAATTAAACCAAGATTTAGAATAAATATCATTTTGATCCATACATTGGTAATGTCTGACTGGGCCTCGTGCCTCTTTATTTTCAACAAATTGGGCCTCGAGGTCAGAAAGGTTAAGAATCCCTGGTCTAGTTTCTGCTTTATTCCTGCCCTTACCCCAGCATACGTCATGTCTTGGTGAAGAAATTTTTTTTAACTGATTAAATAAATATTAGTTTCAGTTTTGTATTTTATACTTTCTGATCACTTCAGTCGGTAAGGTTAAAGCAGAGAGTTGGTGTGTGTCTTATCATATGTTATTTTCTTTAGCCTGAACTAAATGAGAACGCTCTGACGTCTTGACGTAAAAGGTAACACCTCCTGGGGTGTAACCAGGAGGAAAGATAGATTATAAGCTGAATTCATTGTTACAGTGAAGGGAAGTTGTCAGTGTTTAACAGAGTGTCTGCACAGGGCTCTTGTCTGTTTGCTTTGGTTCAGACGAAGGTCTGACTGAGGCCGGTGCTGCTGAGTGCTGAATGTACCTGATTGGAGTCAGAAGATTGAAAATAAAGTTTTAACAAGAAACCGAGCGGATTCCTGTTTATTGGGACATACCATTTTGAACAACGCATATTTTTCCAACAGTGATACGTATGGGCAAAAATAGATTGAAATGAGCAAAATGTAAATATATTATAAATATCATAACACAACAAAATTAGCTTAAAGGCAATATTTGAAGAACCAAGGGACCTGCCGTAGGTGCACGTTTATTTTACTATACCAGCTCGTTTGATTTCTGACAATAATAGTAAAAAACATGACTGTACAAAAGTAAAAAACATTAACACAACCGCTTGAAACTTTGATTTTTACCACCAGATTTGTTTTAAACTGTACTCCTTTCTCTCGCTTCATCCACCATTACGAGCAGGGAAAAAAATCTTTGGTCGGCACTGTTACAACCCACTGGCTCAACAGGAAGTAACACAATGAGACCCAAGACAAAAACGTGGGATTAACTAAAAAAGGTTTATTAAACTGGAAGTGATGTAGTTGGGGAGCACCACAACCAGGCTGCAGCAAGGAAGAGAAGAGAGGGGGAGAGAGCCAGCTCAGAGGAGAGGGTGTGGCTCCCTCAAATAGGCTGCTCACACCTGCGGGTAGTAGGGATGATTAGTGGCAGAGGTTTAACCTGTAAGAGAGAAAACAAATGTACACAACCCCGTAACAGCACACAATCCATTATGTGATATGGTGGGCTGAGAAGGATCCATCAGACCCATCCTTGAAATCAGGGCAAAAGAAGGACGCATTTGTCGGCCGCATCGGAGGAGTCTTCGGACTCGGACAGCCTCCGGTGCTGCGCTGTGACGCAAGCGGCCGACAGATACGGCCTTCGGAGGACGCAGCCTCTGAGTTTAACACAGCCTTGTAAGATGTTCAGACATATCTGACTCCGTCCAGCTTTATTCCTTTGAGTTCATCGCTCTTGATGCTGCCTCGCTCAACAGAGACTACAGAAAATGATCATTAAAGTTGATTCTCTGTTACTTTTTCCACACCAAAATCAAAATTTCCTGAAAAATTTCAAACCTAAATTTCATGGTTTAAAAGTTTGCCATGAGAAGAAAACACTAAATAATGTGACAACAAGAGAAAAACTATTTTACAGCTAAAGTACTACCTTTGGGACTCGGTGAAATGTTAAAAAGGACCAGTTGTGGCCCACAAACCTTTAATTTGACACCTGCTAGATGTTTTAAAGCACTTCAAATGATGACGCAATATGTTGCAGCGTTCCCAGTGTGTTTTTGGCTTTAGACATTTTCATGTAGTGTGTGTTTTTTTTATTACTGACCAGTACTCTTATCTGTTTTGTATTTTTTTCTTTGTTTCCACAGTCCAAACCTGTAGCATTTGCAGTAAAGACAAATGTGAGTTACTGTGGAGCTCTAGATGAGGACTGTCCTGTCCAAGGAGCTGCAGTCAATTTTGATGCCAAAGACTTCCTGCACATCAAAGAAGTGAGCCGTTACTGATGACAGACCCTCTTCATTACACTGAACGCAGATGTGACACAGTGTTGTTCTGTCAACTTTAACAGAAGTACAACAATGACTGGTGGATCGGGCGGTTAGTGAAGGAGGGAGCGGACATCGCCTTCATCCCCAGCCCTCTGCGCCTGGAAGCCATGAGACTCAAACAGGAGCAGAAACAGAGGTCAGATCAGGAAGCGTGTTTTTAAAAACTTCCCGCAGGATGCATTTTCACAACGTCAGCGTAATAATTCCAACGTGTCGCTGTCGATGCAGGAAAACAGGAGGCAATTCCTCAAGTTTGGGTGACATGGTGACAGGGAGCTGGAGGACCACGCCGCCCTCTGCAGGTGAATGTAAGTACTACAAACCAGCCTCCGGCGGCGCTGCTTCTGGCTCTGAGCTTTGTTTGATTGTCTTGTTTTTGTTTTCACAAGCTAAACAGAAGCAGAAACAGGTATGTTTTAGGGGGATTTTTTTTTTTGCAATGATAGGGGAGATTAATAAAATACATAGTTTTTAGTTGATTTTTTACATTAAATGTGTATTATCAAGACTTTTGTACACATCAACAGGCAATGGAAACACTTTATTATTAAATAAATTATTTAAAAATAGGTTTTAGATTTGAAGAGTTAAATATAACTGGTAAAGTTTAGGGCTGTGTGTGTTAAAAGTTATTTTATAAAAAAAAAGGTTTATAATTTTACAGCTGATTACAGAAGCCTGGTTTGTTTTAATTTTAGCAGCAGGTTTCTTTAAATAACTTCCACTTGGCAACTCTATAATTTTTATATCAGTTTATACTTTGTTTATGGTAACTGATTTACTAAATACTAAATATTAAATAGAAATTATTTTTATACTGTATAAAGCCAGAAAATACTTTGAATGATGGGAGTAGTCTAGCCTTCTCACGCTAGAGAGTAAGTGAAAAAATGTTTAATAATAATGTTTTTTGACCTTTCTGACCCCTGTTCCCTCTCCTCCTCACGGTCTTCCCTCCGCTCTGTGGCAGGAACACGTCCCTCCCTATGACGTGGTGCCCTCAATGAGGCCGGTGGTCCTCGTGGGACCATCACTGAAGGGCTATGAGGTCAGTGTCTCCTCACTTCACCTCTAAGCACAACTTTTTACATGGAAGCTGTTTGCATGCTGCTACATTCACTATTAGTATTTGAAGCAAGTCTGTCCTCTTTTATCCAGTGTGTTTAAAATGAAAGAAAACTTGATTATAGTTCTTGTTTGTTTCATACCTACATAAAAGAATCAAAGCAGTGTCCTGAGCAGAAACTAGTTGTAAAAAAACTGTGGCTGTGGTGGAGTGGGGAGTCGTCCTGTGTCGGGACATGAACTAACGCGTCTTATCACTGGAGGAATGACTTCACCATTAAAAACGTTAAACGTAAATAAATAAACAGCATTAATATTTTGGGTTAAGCTCCAGCATCGATACGTATAAGTGCATTTTATCCAACATCTCATTGTAGCATAAATTTCATCAGCTAAGTTTCTAAACTTACATTTAAAAACAAATTCTTCAGTCCGTCATGAAAACACAACCAGGACCAGGGTAGTATAAGCCCAGGTTGACTGGGGCCAGCTGGACCGGGCCTTACAATCCAAAAATGCTTTTAGTGGTTTCGAGGTAGTGAAGGGAGTCAAAGCTAGCCCACTCTTTTAAAGCTCACAGAGCAGTGGGGGGCAGCACTAATATAAAAATTAGTTGCACTAACCCTAAAGCACTAACTTTAATATTTAGATCCCCTAATTCTAAAGCACTAACACACTTAAAAATTTAGCCAAAGCTAATTCTAAAGCACTAAAAACCCAGCTGACCCTTGGAACATTCCTCAGAGTCGACATGAGACGATATTTTCTGTGTGCAGAATATTGTTAATATTTATATTAACAATAATATTAATATAAATATTAATTTATTTTAATATTTGTTAATATTTCATCTAAGTCGGTGGTTCCCAAAGTTAGGGTCGGGACCTCTTTGTGGGTCACAAAACATCAAGTGACGGTCCCCAGATGATTTCCAGACATCAATTTAAATGCAAAAAACTGCAAATGGAATATTTTGATCATGATTATTGCCATTTTTTGAAATAATCATAAATGAATAAATATCTGTATCATGGTTACTAGGTTTGTTTATAGTTATTATTCCCATGTTTAACAGTGTTATTAGCAAAGTTTGCTACGTAAACAAGTAATATATGGGGTCACGAGCGTCTGCAACTGTTATTTACGGGTCAGAAGCAAAAAWGTTTGAAAACCACTGATCTAGTGGATAAGAGACACACAAATGAACAACACATCTGACAGCTTTCACCCTCAGCTGTTGACAGTAATGTTGATCAATAATATTTAAAGAACTCAATAAGTGCTTATAAATTTAGCCCATAAATTTAGCAAGTGCTAATCCACTAATGAATTAAGAAATTAGCAAAAGCCCTAAAGCACTATTCAGGAAATTAGTTCCCCAATTAGTGCTTTAGTGCTTTAGGGGAACTGTGCCCACCACTGTCACAGAGACGTTGGCATTTAAACAGTTTATCCCAGTCCGAGTTGGTCCTCTCAGTTACATTCAATGAAAAGCTTATTGATGAACACATCACACTAGAGGAAGAGTGGAAGGATGCTTTTCTTCTGTGTGTTTGTATTGTATTCGAACTGTGGTGTAACAGTCTTTGTGTGTTTATATTTTTGATTTGACTGGTTTTGATTTTGCCTTTTAGGTGACAGACATGATGCAGAAAGCTCTTTTTGACTTCTTGAAACACAGATTTGAGGGAAGGTCAGTTAAGTTAAATAAGTAAATTTTAACCCTTGAAAGTTTTAAAAGTCAGTGTTAAAAAACTTCATAAATATCTCTGATTTTATGCGCAGAATCTCAATCACCCGAGTAACTGCCGACCTGTCCTTAGCTAAGAGATCTGTCCTCAACAAAAGACCTATAATGGAGAGATCCAACACCCGCTCCAGCCTCGGTAAGTGCGTTCACGTTAGCGAGACAACACCACAGCTCTTTGCTCTAAATAATAAACACATCTGAGCCTGCAAAATTTTATTATTTTTTTTTATCTGTGCAGCCGAGGTTCAGAGCGAGATCGAGAGGATATTTGAGCTCGCCAAAACCCTGCAGCTGGTGATTCTGGACGCAGACACCATCAACCACCCCGCACAGCTCGCCAAAACCTCCCTCGCTCCCATCGTCGTCTACGTTAAAGTTTCCTCACCAAAGGTGCGTCGTGCTAACGACCGTGACCTCAGGCAGCCTGTGGATCGTGTCTGACACAGTTTCTCCTCTCGCCTCCTCTCAGGTGCTTCAGAGGCTGATCAAATCCAGGGGGAAGTCTCAGAGCAAGCACCTGAACGTGCAGATGATGGCTGCAGACAAACTCTCTCAGTGCCCCCCTGTGAGTGCTTCACTGTGGGGTCCCTCTTAATCTCTTGTGCTTAATGGGATTATTTCACACAGATGAGATAGTGTTCAGTGTTGATCCCACATGAACCGTGCTGCTCCTTAAATAATCATCACAGAAAAATAAGTATTAGCTTCTGTGTAATCCTGTTTAAATCACAGCTACAAGTGCTTTCATAAAGTTACTAATCCCTGCAGCCTGATCAATTTTTAGGTGCAAAGAACTTGTATCTTTTACACAAATGGTTTAAAACTCTTAGTGTGAAAAGAAAAACCAACTATGTTTGGCAATGATACAAAACAAATACACAGTATGCATTTTTAATAACATGGCCATGTGGGGTCCACTGAAAATTCTAGAGTGGTACCAAAAGCAAAATCAGAACAGACTTTCAGGAAATTTGTTACGTTGTTGTCATATTTAAGTTATTTAACAAATATGAATATGGGAGTTAGAGAATCATATTCTACTATACAAACAGTTGGTCTACATTAGTTTTTATTGATAGTTAATATTACTTATTAAGCACAACACTGTCATTACTCAACATATTGAAGCTAAATATAGGACATTTAGATTAATAGGAAAAAAATATTGTGCACACAGCGGGTAAAATAAGTATTGAACACGTCACCATTTTTCTCAGTAAATATATTACTAGAGGTGCTAATGACATGAAATTTTCACCAGATTTTGGTAACAACCCAAGTGATCCATAAATACAAAGAAATCAAACCATAAATGTCCAGAAATGAAGTTATTTGTAATAATGTGGAATGGAACAGGGAAAACATATTGAACAGGTTGGCGTTTCTGGATTGCGATGTCTCGGTTTCGGATGGAGGACGGTTGGAAACTGGCGTGTATTGTAATCCCACCCACAC